TCCAGCCTTGTTGATCTGAGTTGATCAGTTTGTTAACGAACAAAATACATTTGTTTTTCTTTGTATATACACTCCAATGTTGCATTCTTGGATTGAATTTGCCGATTTAACATTGTAAACATGTATTTCAACAAAATACGTTTTCTTAAACGACAAAACATTAACTGTTTTTTCTGATGTAAGCAATACCAATTGTTCATCATAACATGCGGAATACTCATTTTTGTGTATACGCCAACAAAACAGAAGTTACTTTCTCAGCTTTATCTTGTCAAACCATCATGATTCGGATCAGCATAATCCAGCTTGACACGTTTTTCAATAGGAGATAAAATAAGCTCCGCCCATTTTCCCGCCCACTACATCATCGTAGATAAACGTATTTACCCGCTCATTCTCGGTATTTACCGTCAGCGACAAGAAGAAAACAAGAACACGCACCGGCGTAGTTTCCGTTTACCACACCTTTTAGGTGTTTAGTTAATATTCATCAAACATAATTCACTTGCATAATTGTCATTCTATGCCTTTATTCAATCAACATCAGCGGACTGATCAGGATCCATGCTGTTCGCTTACGAACTATTTAACAAGACGAGAGACTGATAGCGAACAGCATGGATCCTGATCAGACTGCGCGGATGCGCAGGCTGGTCTGGATCCATGCTGGTTGCAAACCGATTATGTTGGTTTTGTCATGACGTGGCTCATATAAGTAGATATTAGTTGGTCAAACGTTTACATGCATACTGTATATAGAGAATAACATCCTACTGTCTTTTGATATCAATTTTATCAGGCGAGGCTGATATGGGCTAGAAAGGGCGAGGCTTGTAGCATGTTTTTCTATTTATCATGTAACACATAAAAACTGTCAAAATAATAAAATAATCTACTTATAAATAGCGAATTTCGTAAAAAAAGATTTTTTTAAAGAAATAATTTTTGAAAACAAATTCCTCCGCCCCTGAAACTTAGAATTTGTAAATGGCGGTCATTTTTTCTTTCGACGATACAGAATGTATGCCTAACACGATAAAATTCTTACCTTTAAGCATCGATCATCAAAATCCCTTAGAATCACATAAATTTTACTGCACTTTTTGTCTTGAATTGTCATAACAAACAGGCTTGACGATTTTCTTTGAGAACTTGTAAATGTTTACTTTATTTCGCTGGATTATTATTTAATAAGTGAACAAATTGTTTCGTTTAAACAATAAGATGCATGTTTGTGTAGCTTGTGTTTGATTGCCGATTTGACTTCTTGTTTGATTGAAATGATTAACGTGAACTTTTGAATTTGACAATTCAAGACAAAAAGTGCACACACGCACCAACACGCACGCACGCGCACACGCACGCGCGCGCGCACAAACACACACTCATTCCGCTTGGATTTGGTAAGTAGTGTAATCCCTCTGAGATTTGGATATCACCTTGCCCCTTATCAGTGTAATTTATATAAAACCTAGTACATATGTAGCGGCCTCCTACATTGTTAACTTTTTGGACACTTGAAATAACTTGCTTTTGGAGGGGGATTGGAAATACAAGTTAAAATATATGATTACCAGGCTTTACTGTCTTATTGAATGTTAAAATATCATTATCGTCCGTTTAGGACTACAGATACAACAAAAGATGGCGTCACAAACATGTTTTAAATGATCATATAATTACAACATGACAAAAAACTTCAGATGTATTTTCTTTATTGTAATAAGAAATGTCTAGCACATACAAGTTCAATAACAGTCAATTCAATAACACACATAAAAAGTATCATTTTATAGAAATATCAGTGGAGACCAAGAATCGATCAAAACATACAAGTCAAATCATTCAAAATCACTGCTAACTGAACCCCTGCCTTCGTCACTGTCTTCATTATCAACAAATGTATTCATGAAACTGTCCAGTAAATCATCTTCAGTTATTCGAGAATTGAGTTTATCTTTATTCAATATACGTCTAAGCTCGCTCAAGTTAATATTAGTGTCTTCAGCATAATTCTCAAAAATATTCTGTTCTTATTCACATTCACTATTATAGCAGTCACTGTCATCTTCAAACGCACTTTCATCGTCTTCTGAATATGTCATTTCAGTATCGTAGAGAATACCTTCATTCAGTTTATCGTTCATGGTAAAAGTTTCGTGTTTGTTTCTAGTTTTACTAACAATAAATGCCATATTCATATCAGGGACATCACCAGAGTCTATGCTGTTATCGTTTATGTCTTCATCATCACCTCGTGTTCTTTCTGGATGTTCCGACACAAATATTGATACATCTTCACAATCAACTTCTCTTGTTCTAACTGGTAGGTACTCAACACTACCCTCGAATTCGTAAATGTCGTTATTTTGTATAGAATCATCCAGGAATCTTTGTAAAAGTTCTTTCTTGCTTATTGCTTCAATGGCAATGTTTTGTACTTCAGATATTTCATCGATAACAGTTATATTTTTGTTATAGAAATCTTTCTTCACGGTGTTGGTTTTAATGTTGTTGCAGAGATTTGCTTCAAATTTTTGATCAACTTTTAATTCATGTTTTGAATTCAATGTTCTTAAACGTTTTAGTTTTGTCGCAGCTCTTTTTATCATTGTCATCTTTGATTTCATTGTGTCCATGTTCTTCGTGTCAAAACCTAAATTTTTCAAGTTTTCAATAATATCTGTATGGCTCCGTTGTCTTGTCTTTCTGCTATATGTTTTAGTTATATGTTAGTTTGTTTTATACAATTAAAACAAATTTGATGTCTAAATTAAGTTTGTTTCTTAATTTATACTCTCGGTGTTATGGTATATGAACAAGAAGGAATAATTGGTCACGTGGCGACACACTTTGTAATTAACTCTTTCTTTCAATTAGATAATAATTTTTTTTTCTTCGCGTGATTAGTAATTGGTAGAAATGGCGTACTTATTCATTAGTCAATTAGTAATTATTACATTTTGATTCACTAATTTTATAATTGGTAGAGGTGTCTCTTTTTAATCACGATTATATAATTATTTTCTGCAGGAAATCATATTTTACGAAGTTATAGATATATATATATGGTTCTGTTCTTTTTATAAGTAAGTATACCATTCACATATTTTTTCAAGTTCATATAAAGAAATATACATTTTACTACAAATTTACACAAACATCTCAAGTTGCTTTCATTGTCAGAAGAAATAATAGTTACAAAAGAGAAGCATTTAGAGAGGTATAATAAAGTAAACTTAAACAAAAATTTAGAATTATGCTTATAAAAATTGTTAAAGTAGAAAAGTAATCCAGAGCAGGATAATAATTATAAATTTTTAAAATATAAAAAAAATCATTATTTATATCTATGTAGAATGTTAAATAATAAACTTCAGTCAGTAGCGTCCATTTTCTGTTATGGATATTGACTCAGCAATTCTGCGATAAATTATACTCTGAAACTTTAATCATATAACGGAAGGAGAGGGCCAGTGTTTGCTTGTCATTTAATTATTGACGTAGTAAATACAAAATATAGCATAATTCACATGTATATACATATGCATACGACTTGGAAGTCACATTTACTGGCCATGCACAGGTTAATCTACTAATTTACTTAAATACACTCTGATTCTATAATATTTACATATACAGTAGAGTCGTACTTGGACAAAAGTAATCGTGATTTCTTTTCTAAATTATGTTAAGAAGGGTGAAAAGTATCAGACATTCCTCGCTTTTAAATTCATAAACATGAATATATGCGAGAATATGTTATATGCATACGCGGATCCTGAGTTGTATGGAGTAGGGGCTCATGACCCCTCCCCACCCGCTGGGATTTTATAGGTAAGTATATGTAACCCCTCTCAGATTTTTTTTGATATTTACTTGCGTCTTTTAGTAAAATTCATACAAAAAACTAGTAGTGAAAATAAAACAAAATTTGAATCTTGATACCTTAGGAAAACTAGTAAAATGTCAAACCACCTTAACCACTTGGCCACCGCTCTCCTGCCCCATTTAGGGGCCATTCCCCTCGGCTTCAGTCAGGACATCGGCAGCTGAATCGTAGAATGCGTTAGCTTAACTCGCCAGCGACGAAGGTGTAGTTTGGTTTCCATACAAACATAGAGCCCGGATCTTAATTGGTCAACGTGAACTTGGTAAAAAGTTCACCCAAGCTCGAAATCTTTTGACGATGCACTGTGTCTTCTCTACGACGTACACGTACCGAGGGGAAAAGATTAGTAAATTAATAAATTAAGATCATTTTATATTGGAAGAACACATTATGTTAAAGCTGGTTACAATTTATAAGATGTGAAATAAATAATTTTATTCAGGTCTAATTAAATGTAAACAATAAACTTCAAGGTTTGCTTAATACACATCATTAATGGATCAAATCTTATCAATCTCTAGAAACGTTTTCGTTTTCTGAGTCTAAAAAACAGTATGAAATCCATATTTTATTCATGTTGCCTCATCTTTTTAAGTTTCGACTTAAAAAAACGTAATCTATGTAGGTTGATGACTTCAAACCACTTGCCCCTCAACGCTGTGGGTTCGCATCCCGACAGGGACTTTGTATTCTTTCACGTGAGTAAGCTATACGTCGGTGACTTTACTCAAGTGGCCGTTCGAGCCTGAAAAAAGCACGGACGGGCACCTGAGGACTTCCTCCACCAGTAAAACTGGAAGGTCGCCAAATGACCTATGACATTAAATCCAAAATAAAAAAGATCTCTATTTCGCATAGCTGTAATGCTCGCATCTTTTGTCTGTCTCTTATCAATGTGTACGTCGCCTCTCGCAAGTGTACGTTTCATACATTATCACATATGATTTTTCATCAGTAATCCATTCAAAATCTTGATTTTTTTTAAATGTTTAGGTTTTGATCAATCGCTATCGTTTTTTATATGTATACAACTTAGACTTTAAATAAATCCCAGGATAGATAAATGAAAACAAAGAATTATAAAAAGGAGAAGACAAGAAAATGACGCATTAAGAACACGCTTTTTTATTTCTATTATTTTTTTATTCATTTTATTTTTACAAAAAGCATAATGAAGTATTTAATCAAAAGTTAATCGAGTGCATAGATAAATAGTTAAAAAACTATATACATGTATAAATAAATTACAACACATGAATATACGATAACACAGATAATAATGTTAACTTTCTGCATGTATGTCTGCACCATCATGATCCTGACTTTGTGGCGGCTGTAGGTCTAGACAGCCTTTTGACATATTGATTTTGCTGCAGTTATTTTCGACATTTAAAAGATACTTCTTATTTAAAATGTATATATATATATAACTAAACAATGCTGACATCATTTCAAATACTACAGGCTTTAAAGAGATTCCACAGAGGTGCATTAAATAAAAAAAGATGATAGGTTTTAAAGTGTACGAACCGTTGACCCATTCAAACCTAAAATATCGTGATTTAACGATTAATGTGATGGGCTAGTTTTAAACAAGCTTAAAGTCATGGGCCAATGAGCATTGCTGTATGATTCTTGGTTCACTAGAGCTCCTGGAAATGGTCATATTGCCAAAAAAATGAGCAAAGCAAAGTTATAAATGTCTTTTTATCACACATATTGACGTGGAAGGAGATTGAAAAATACATGATTTGCCATTTGATACAAACTGTTTTATGTTTTCTATCCTTTGTTAGATCTAGCTCAATGCAACTCCTTTTAATATACGCAATAATAAAAAAAAATCAATTTCATTTGATAATTAAACATTGTACAATCATAGCCAATACAACATAGCATCATTTTAAATACATTTCTAAAGTTAAATAGTTTGATAAAGATAATTTGTAGCATATTTTGTACAATACAGTTGCTACAGCTGTAACAGGTTCTTGAGAAGGACCAAAAAGATCAATCGTCAATGTTTTTCGCTCATAAGGCTTTCATACGATGGTGGCGCACTGGGGTCCAAAATGGGTGCTGAAACAATTTCATAAAATAAGTTAATACCGTAAATACCAGTGTTTTTTTGTCCAATTTCAATAACGTCCTTTTTATCATTAACACACAAAATGTTGACTGTCAGACCTAACCAAATTATGAACTATAGAATGAATATAAACCCTTCATTGTATTCTGTCATCGGAGTTTTATGTTAGGACTTCATTTTTGTGTCGCCTGTTACAAACTACTGGTGCAATTTCATCCATATTTTACAGGAATGATTAGTTCTTAGTTAAGTTGAGCATATCGTCGGTATTTTCGAATCAATGATTTTCCAAGTTATGGCCCTTTAATTATTTTTTTAAAGTTTTGTTCGGACTACTTATACTACGGCAATACACTTACTCTAACACTACTATGCAAATAAAATGAAAGTATACAAGATAGATCGGTACCTAAAGTATACTTAAGCATATTAATTAAATGGGGTTTCCGGTTGAATTAATTTTGGTTGAGTAATGGCCCTTGAATAAAAACGTGTTTTGGCCTTTTAATTATTTTTGTGTCTTCTGCAACACAGTATCTGAAACATGCACTTGGCTACCATCAGGCAATACATGTGATCACTGATCGCTTCTGCTAAATTAGGTTGAAGACACACCTTAAACAATATATCACCAGATATATTGACAGGGAAACGAATGAATGATTCCTTGAAATATGTGTTAATAAAATAATCATGACCTGATCTTCTTTCAATAAATGAATACATAAGGCGTCAATCGTCTGCTTATTTGAGATTTACTGTCATGTTCTATCGTCAGAAATCGGGTGTCAATCGGGTGTCGGTATACTAGTAGTTGTAATATGTCAACATGCAGTACCGCCTCCGTGGTCAAGGGGTTAGAGTCGATGATTTCTAATTCAGGTACCTCTCTGGCGTGGGTTCGATCCCCGGGAGATGCTTTGGTAGTTTAGCGCGGAGGAAGGTCGTCTAGTACTGATGTAACTCTCCAGGAACGATGGTTAGGAAACTACCCGCCTATATGACTGAAATACTGTTGGGAAAAGGCGTAAAATAAAACAAACAAACAAACAAACAAATATCAACATGCAGTATAAGAATTTGTATGCAAGCTTTACATGTGTGATATTTGTCTTTAGCAAAACGTACATCACTGAGATTTGGAGTCTACGAACAGTAGGATTTTAAAACTTTCAGTGATACGTTTTTTATATACATTTTTTATGTAATATATGAAATAATGTTACTTTACCGTTATTATCATTCTGTCCTGGGTCTATCTGCTGGGACAACACGGTCGGGTTATCAGGTTCTAGTCCTTGTTGTGCTGGATATGAACTTTGTATAAGCTCTAGGTTATAATGCATATGCTCCATGGACTGATGAGTGAGTGGTTGTGTTGGATTATTCGCTTGATTTTGATCTAGAGTAAAAACAGAAGCATAGTTGTTTTATTTCATAGTTATGATATAGGACATTTCATATAATTATATCTGTTTTTGTCTTCTATTGTGTGTACAAAGTTAAAACGTGTTTTCCAGGAAGGACAAAAAATATTATAATAAAAAACAAGCAACTGACACTTTGTATGAAAGTTACCCCGGAGACTGAAATTTTTGTTATCTTAATATAATTTAAACCACACATGTAAGTATTTTTATTTGACAGTTATAAAAAGCCTGTAAAGTATATGCTCCACTGAGGTCCCAAAACCTAATACATAACATTTGAATTTCTTGCACAAATCAGCTGAAGATAATTAAGTATTAAAACTGAAATCGTATTTTAATGCTATTCTTGGTCCGATTTGATTAAAAATCATTGCAACGTTTAGCAAATTAAGATTATTTTTTGTGCGAGAGATCTGACATTTTGCACGTAAGTTATTGGCCAAGATGCTTGACCTGCATCAAATGGAACATTAATCTTGAAAACTTGTTTCCAGTCTGCCATGTAAAAAACCCTCAGTGGAGTCCCTATAAAGAGTTTTTGATAAAATTAAGGCCTCGAACCTGCTTGCATAATAACAGCTCCTCGTGATACCATTTTTCGTCTCTTTAAACGGCAGATGACGAACACACAGCAACAAATAAAGACGAATAACACAGTAAAAATTATACTTAAAGTGGTTACTATGCGGAGAGTGTCGCGTATGTCTTTATCCTTTCCTTCTGCTGGAACTGAAACAAAACCGACAATAATAATTGAATCATTACAAGTATCCAGTATTTTTTGATATTGTATTATAATAAATAAATAAAGTATGTTTGAATTTACATGTTTCTGAAATAATCACATGTAGCAGTGACGTATTGAACTCATTTGCATAATGTAAATATCATATCTTTTCGTAAGCGATTCATTTTTAATTTCTGTGATAAAGATTTTAAATATTATAATTCACTCAATACTCTTATAATCACAATAAAATAATAGAGCTCAAATCCTGTTCATCGGCCAAAACAATTTTAGTTGTATAAATGTATGTGATAGAATATTATGTCCTCGGAGTCTAAATAATAACTTTTTCCTTGGTTTTATGCACACACAAAAACGATACGTTTGCTTTTTAGCAATGTTTTCTTTAAAATAAAATCAAGTCTGTCAAAAACCGTTTAAATATGTACAATAAGCTACAAAGTAGCGCGCAAAACTACGAATTAAGGAATGTGAAGCTCTTCATTAAAATTACGGTCATTTCATAGTGAAATTTCACTACAAACAGTCGCATAATGCTGTCGAACTATAATTAACGTAAGAAAGAATCTCATTATCTCCATTTCGATGAAATAGAACAACCAGCATCATCACGATTTTCACAACGATCATCGGGCGGCATATGGATGAACCTCATAATGATAGAAGTTGTCATGCTGCTGCCCCTCATAATGATGAAGTTCGCAATGTTTTTGCGCCTCATCTCGATGAAGGTTTTCATGCTGCTGGTCCTCATAATGATGAAGGTCGTCATGCTGCTGGTCCTCATAATGATGAAAGACGTCATGCTGTTGCTCCTCATTATAATGAAGATCGTCATGCCGCTGCTTCTAATATCGACAAAGGTCGTCATGCCGCTGCTCTAATATCGACAAAGGTCGTCATGCCGCTGCTTCTAATATCGACAAAGGTCTTCATGACGCTGCTTCTAATATTGACGAGGGTCGTAATGTTGCTGTCCCTCATCATGATGAAGGTTTACATGTTTCTGCCCCTTATAATGATGCAGGTCGTCATGCAGCTGCTCCTCTTTATGATGAAAGACGTCATTTTCCTACTCCTCATAATGAAGAAAGTCTTCATGCCGCTGCTCCATATATCGATGAAGGTCGTCATGCCACTGCTCCTCATCTCGATGAAGGTTTTCATGCTGTTGCTCCTCATAATGATGAAGATCGTTATGCTGCTACTACTCATATCGACGAAGGTCGTCATGCTGCTTCTCCTCATCTCGATGAAGGTGTTTATGCTGCTGCTCATCATAATGATGAAGGTCGTCATGCCGCTGCTCCCGATAATGATGAAGGTCGTCATGCAGTTGCTCTGCATTATGATGAAGATCGTCATGCCGCTGTCCCCATCTCGATGAAGGTTTTTATGCTGCTGCCCCTTAATGATGAAGGTCGTCATGTTGCTTCTTCTCATAATGATGAAGATATGCTGTCGTGCTCTATATATGATGATACTCGTCATTATGTGCTGCCGCTGCTCCTGAAGTGTACCTACTCTCTGTGTATTTGATCTTGAAATATAGCGTTAAAAATGGCAGATATAGATAAACAAGCGATAACCAGTAGAAAAGGATGGTATGTTAAGTGTTCATAATATCTACAAAAATGCGAACAGAAGAGTATTTTATTTGAGTTTTTTAAGCAGTCGTACCTACCATCTTTCAGTTCTACGCGTAGTTTGATGATATCGGATGTGTGAAGGGAAGATTTTCTGATCCCAACAAAAATAGTGTTAACATACTGACCAGTACACCATACGTCTTTTGATACATTCTTGCATGACATGTTCACCTGAAAGAATTGGAAAGGAATTTGTGCTCCTGGCATCTGTAAGACAAGCTCATTTTGCTACGATAAATATACATTTTAATTTTAATAGAACTGTTTGTGTAGCAACCAGATCAAATAAAGTCTAACCCAATAAATCGTGCACTTATTATCTACACATATATTCATTTTATTACATTCTAGAGTATTTTCCATACCATAGCATTATATTTAATATGCGAATAGCTACTGTAACAAGTAATTTAAATATACAAAGCAAAATTAATACCTCTGGGTCAATTTTATTTACAGAACCTTTGTAGTACTCCACCGATGTATCACAATCCAGCCGAATGTCATCCACATACATGTATATACAAAAGTATTGATTGTTTGAGCTTTTAGTGAACCCAACGTAACAAGGGTTGTCGCTTAATTCATCTTTACCATAATTAACCACCTTCATGGTTCTTAGGCCATCCAAAGTGTATTTCTCACCACATGTTGTACTAATAACTTTTAGAGAGTGACCTGGAAAAGAAGTAAAAGAACTGCTTAAATACTTTCTTATAAAAAGGTTTCAAAATGAAAGATGCATGTCTCCAGATGAGCCAAAGTATTGAAAGGAAATCAAACATCAGAAAGAGTACTCATATTATAACCAGTTAATAATTAACATGTTATGTGCGATTAATGACTGATTCCTCAGTACCGCCATATTTCTATTACGTGACTAACGCAGTAAATCTACTTTTGCATATTTTGATTTTTTTTTATATTTTGTTACATACGTGGATTGTAAGTGCTGTTTGTAAAGCGAAAATTAATTTCCATGTTCACTTTACAATATTTTACTTTATAATACATTTTCAGAATTTTCATGAAAATTAGCATGAATATGTGGGCAGCTTCATGTATATGCAGTATTTAAACATACCTGTATAAATTTCATTTAATATATTGAATAAAACCATCCATATCGCTGCAAGTTTACTTGACATGACTGCTGATGTACCGTAGTATGAGATACTAATGTCTGCTCAACACTGAAAGTACACAATTAAATGTATTGGATAACGACTAAAATGTACATGCAAACTATATGTATAAAACATAACCAAAAATCATCAGTGTTGTGTCAAAATAAAAAAAATAACCTCTTGAAATATGAACTAAAAACAAATCGTCTGAGGCTGATGTTTTAGAGCAGAGTTATGAAGGCGCCATCCTCTAGCCTTGTGTTCAGGCTTTGATATTTTTGCTTATTTATAACATACCCGCTATTCCATACTCGTTCGTGTTTTTGATTTGTCAAACAGAAGCACATAAAAATCGACACACTGGAACCCAGACTAGCCTACCTCTACCATTGACAGACTTTGCCAGGTTTGCTTGGTGTGGAAATAGAGTGCTACTATGCTTCCTTCATGTGTAAGCATACAGCAGTTAGGAAAGGAGCCTATAGATAACGTTGATTTTCCATGACCCTTCTGTGCGTATATAACAATATACGGATGATAATGTTTATTTATATAATATGTAGAATTATACGATAAAATATAATATGTAGAATTATACGATAAAATATTATTAAACTACAAAATCCAACTTACTTCCCTTATCTCTGAAACACAACACAGAAAAAAATATCTTATTGAATAATTACATCAATACCATCCGTCTATTTAAACCGTACATTATGTAATCCTTTATTAATGCAAATGTAGTATGAGTCAGAGTTCATTATAAACAATTAAATAATCAAAATACAATCACAGATGTATTTAATAAAATATTATAATATCTTATTGCTAGAGATTATAGTATAAAACAACTCACTAGCAGTATCATGTGCATATAAAACCTATACATATCGAAACGTGTTGGTTATCATTGGAAATCGATTGGAAATATGGCATTGTCTGCTACTGTTTAGGAACATAATTTCTAAACACCATATCCAGCATCATGATAGTCCTGTATGTATTATATTATTTTAACAAAAACAAAAAAAAACTAAGGACTTTGTTAAAGGACTCGTCTGAGATTTGGGATTAGAATTCCGAAGCGTGTGTATCATTTGATCTTGACTTAAAACTTGTGTGTGAATTTTCAAATCAATACCTCACTTCGTTTTTTCAACATAATCATTTCTATTGTGCAAAATATGCCCCCCCCCCCCCCCCCCCAGCCTTTAACACATATCCACTCAATTGGGCTTGATTCGCACATACATTCGACATTCATTTTAATTCAGAGATTAGTTGTTGTTTTTTCTTATCCTTTGCTGATTTTCTTTTTTTATGTGCTTCACTTGATATATGTAACAATTTCAAATGTTATGTTTTTAAAACTTTTAAACTCAATGGATCTCTTTTAAAACATAAAACATTTCTTTCCATGACGATTTTAATACGACACATTTTCATGGTTGAATAAGATGTATGTAATAACATGACAAAGATAACATGTATGGAAATAAAAATAGGTGATCTACATATAACATGTTAGAATTTTTGTTTAGTACCATTATACAATATTGGGCATATATAATTCGGCTTAACAAAAAAGATGTTTGTTCCCAGTGACATGGTTTTAAATAATAGGGTAGGTAGGTAGCCATTTTTTAAATATGTTTTTTTATATATCAAATGTATGCGACGGAAATATGAATATGCGGCACAAAGTTTATTATGCAGCGTCAAACACAAAATGAGGCCTGTTTTTCCTAAAAAAGTTTAGGGTCGGTGGTCAAAAAATAGGGTACGTAGGGACACCGGAAACAAATATTTTTCTTTAAATATGGAAGAACATGCCAATTAAGTGAGAGCTATTTATGTTTAATGCAACCTATATTCTTATTTTACATTCGGTAGATTATACAATGTAACTCATCGTTAAGCTAGTACACGAATTGCAGTGTAACAAAATCAAGTTTTGAAGAAAGAATTTTCTCAAATTATATCTATAAAAAAATCCACAAATTATATCAAATAATATATCTACAGGATATTTCATTTTATAATACGTATGTACAATTGATATTCATAATCATAGCGACAAACCAAAAACATCACGATAATATTGGCAATAAATTAAAGTAAAATCCTTTGATGCGCAGATAAAATATTTAAAAACATGTTAAAAAGTTAATGAGGTCTTTTAAACACGGTTGCATAAATGATTTCTCAATATTTTTCACGGAATAAATAAAACCAAGGGGCAGGACGTGAAGTGGTTGCACACTTGGTTCAAGCGAGCGAATTGGTTGCAAACTTGACAAAATGGCAAATACGGCGAAATTTTTTGAAACGGGTGAACGAATTTTTGCCAGGCAAGTGGGTTTCTTTATTATTTTGAAGTTCATTAGTATGTCTATTCCATAATGCAATATATATGCCACACTCGGTTAAAGGTTTCAGCATCCTAGATTCTGTTTTAACGAAGTTATTGAAAATATAAACTGATCATCTATATATTTTGAAATTTGACAGGTTACTGTTATGGTTGGTTTTTCTCCTAATTTAGTCGAATTTGTAAGTTTTGAATTGCATTTAACAATAACAAAATATGTTTCTGTCAATGTTGTACAAATGGTTTAGTTCGCAAGTCCGAAGATAACGTTCAATACACAAAAATATCTTGTTCAAGTACGTTTTGGTTGCAGACTTATATATCAAGCATTTTTGGTTGCAAACTTTTGTGTCAATAATATGGCATGCATATTTTTAGCGAGGAATAACTAATCTTTTTTTTTAAATAATTATCAATAATATGGCAATTGTACCCATTCATCTAATAAGAAATATATATACAACTTGTGCATGCGTGCAGATATATCCTAACACAGGGTCTTTCAAATAGATATATAACACAATATGCTAAATTGAAGTTCAGTTGTGTTTATCTTCATCATTTTTTCTCTTCGATATACTTTTTTTCTTTTTACAAAGTCTTATGGCTTTTTTTTATATCTTGGCATGACTAACTGTAAAGAAAAAGAAAAAATAGCAACAAACAGCTTTCATTATTGTTCGTTTTTTGCGATTTGAAATAAATTTGATTATATAGTTGATAAAATCTATATTAACATTGACACAAGGGCATTAGTCACATGTTTCTTTAAATTTTTCCTTAATCATTATTTACCATTCGAAACATCTTCCAAATTTCCTAACTCTAACCTAACAATGACTTTAAGTAGTTTTGTCACGTATCAGTCAATGTAAATAACCAATCATGTATCAGTTATATTATGATCTAATAATCAAAATCATCTTTAGGATACCAATTGACATATGATATACTGTACATCAAATCCGAAATATTGTAAACAAGCATGTCATTGTACCTATTGGTTTCTAAAAAATATTTTAAGTACATTACTTATTGTCTAAACAACTGCTGATCTTTACATACGAAACAAACAAATTAACATTTCATGTGCTTTTGATAAACTTTGGAAATTTCGCCGAGTAAAATCGTATACATGTGTGCACATGTCCTTATGTTTATGATGAAAATAATTCACTTACATACAACCATACTCTCACATACGTTTGTTTTGTATGTAGTTTTCTTTTTATATTTTACATATGATGACATATTTTAGAATTGAAGTATCAAAAAAAAATCTATCTGCTTTTATTTTGTTTGCAGGCTTTTACTGATGATTATAGTATTGAACTAAGACCCAAATTATTTGAAACATAATGTGCATAATTGTTGTAAAAGAAGAAAGTATAAATAACATTTATAACAAAAACAAGTAACACAACATAAATGTCAAAAATTGCCATTGAAAATTACTTCTACACTCCTTTTGTAAAGTTTTACTGTGGATTTCAATCACAGGGACCCAGCACAGTGTTGGGATAGTGTAAAAAAGTATTTTTAAAAAAAAATATATATATATTGTATATATAATATATAGACTATATATTATATATAAAGTATTTTTTTTTCTAGAATTACTTTTTTACACTATCCCAACACTGTGCCTGGTCCCTTTGATTTCAATAGAATAAAATAAGTTTGCAACCAAAAATGCTTGAAGTATAAGTCTGCAACCAAAACGTACTTGAACAAGATATTTTTGTGTATTGAACGTTATCTTCGGACTTGCGAACTAAACCACTTGTACAGCATTGACAGAAACATATTTTGTTATTGTTAAATGCAGTTCAAAACCAACAATAACAGTCACATGTCAAATTTCCAAATATATAGATGATCAGTTTATATCTTCAATAACTTCGTTAAAACAGAATCTAGGATGCTGAAACCTTTAACCGAGTGTGGTATATATATTGCATTATGGAATAGACATACTAATGAACTTCAAAATAACAAAGAAACCCACTTGCCTGGCAAAAATTCGTTCACCCGTTTCAAAAAATTTCGCCGTGTTCGCCATTTTGTCAAGTTTGCAACCAATTCGCTGGCTTGAACCAAGTTTGAAACCACTTCACGTCCTGCCCCTTGAAAACATTCTAGATAATGAAAAAGCTTATGCCACAACTTTAATTCAACTACGCGAGTTTGTGTACATGATTAAGATAAACTGATTACATTACATGTAATATTATTCCATGCCAAATCCAAATTGAGTCATTTACGGCGTTATTTGCATAATTATCGTTTCACAATAAAAGGGAAGTAAACGTGTATTGAAGCGTTGTTGAATATTGTATGCATGATATCTGAACTTGAAATTTTATCAGCTTTTTTTAAAATTACATCATTAATAGGAAATCAAGATAAACATACATGTATTTGTTTCTGTTTCCAAGAGCTATACTTTTCTCTTATCCAATATTAAACAGAGAGAAAAGGTCGTTTTAAAAAGTATAACTATGTTAATTTGAGAAGTCAAACAAGATATTAAAACGATTTTTGGTCGCATTAGAAACACACTTTGTTTCTTTTTTTGTATGTGAGCGAGACTCAGCGAGTAAGCCCGATACATAATCATCTAATTATAACATGACAAAAAACTCTAGATGTTTTTTCTTTATTGTAATAGATTTTTATAGCACATAGAAGTTCAATAACAAATCAAATCAACAACACACATTAAGAACGTATAAATGTTACAGAAATATCAATGAATACCAAGAATCGATCAAAACATGCAAGTCAAATCATTCAAAATCACTGCTAACTGAACCCCTGCCTTCGTCACTGTCTTCATTATCAACAAATGTTTTCATGAAACTATCTAGTAAATCATCTTCGGTTATTTGAGAATTGAGTTTATCATCACCTAATATACGTTTAAGCTCGTTCAGGCTTATATAAGTGTCTTCAGCACAATTCTCAATGATATTCCGTTCTAATTCACATTCACTATTATAGCAGTCACTGTCATCTTCAAACGCACTTTCATCATCTTCTGAATATGTCATTTCAGTATCGTAGAGAATACCTTCATTCATTTTATCGTTCTGGGTAAAGGTTGATTGTTTGTTTCTAGTTTTACCAACAATAAATGCCGTATTCATATCGTGAAGATCACCAGCATCTATGCTGTAATCGTTGTTGTCTTCACCATCACCTCGTGTTCTTTCCGGAAGTCCCGACTCAAATATTGATATATCTTCACAACCAACTCCTCTTGTTCTAACTGGTAGGTACTCAACACTACCCTCGAATCCGACAGTGTCGTTATTTTGTAAAGAATCATCCAGGTATCTTTGTAAAAGTTCTTTTTTGCCTATTGCTTCAATGGCAATGTTTTGTTCTTTAGATATTTCATCGATAACAGTTATATTTTTGTTATAGAAATCTTTCTTCACAGTGTTTGTATTGATGTTGTCGGAGAGATTTGTTTCAGTTTTTTGATCAGTTTTTAATTCATGTTTTGATATCAATGCTCTGAAACGTTTTAGTTTTGTCGCAGCTCTTTTTATCGTTGTCATCTTTGATTTCATTGTGTCCATGTTATTCGTCTCAAAATTGAATTTTTCAAGTTTGCAGTAATATATGTTATCCTCCTGTGTCTGGTATTTCTGCAATATGTTTTAGTTATATGTTAGTTTGTTTTATACAATCAAAACAAATTTGATGTCGAAATTAAGTTTGTTTCTTAATTTATACTATCGGTGTTATGGTATATGAACAAGAAGGAATACTTGGTCACGTGGCGACACACTTTGTAATAAACACTTTCTTTCAATTAGATAATTCTTCGCGTGATTAGTAATTGGTAGAAATGGCGTACTTATTCATCAGTCAATTAGTAATTGTTACATTTTGATTCACTAATTTTATAATTGGTACACGTGTCTTTTTCTAATCACGATTAATTATTTCCTGCAGGAAATCATATTTTACGAAATTAAGACTATATACATGTAAACCAGTTATAGATATATATGGTTCTGTTCTTTTTATAAGTAAATTTATAAAAATCATTTTCATTCACATTCTTTTTTTCAAGTTCGTATAAATATATACATTTTACTACAAATTTACACAAACATCTCAACTTGTTTTCATTGTCAGAAGAAATAATGGTTACACAAGAGAAGCATTTAGAGAGGTATAATAAAATAAACTTAAACAAAAAAATTAGCATTATGCTTATAAAGATTGTAAAAGTAGATAACTAATATAGAGTAATAAAAAGTTCATATATAAAGAAAGAAAAGAAAAGAAACGTTTCTATGTAGAATGTAAATAATAAACTTCAGTCAGTAGCGTTGTAAATGTGCTCCATTTGCTGTTATGGGCATCGACCTTGCATTTCATTTCAGCAATTCCATTCCGCATTCTTCTGTAAATTACACTTTGAAGCTTAAAACATATAACGGAATGAGAGGGGGTCAGATTTGTAAATGTAATTGTCAGATAGTAATCTATAAACATTGGCGCTGTAAATACGAAAATAGTATAATTCACATGTATTCGTATGCTTACCCACTTGGAAGTCACATTTACTACTATTTTCACTTTAAATAAACTTGCTCTTTTTAAGTGAAGTTTACACCTAAACTAGTAGTGAACCTTAGGAAACTAGTGAAATTCAAAACCCCCTTAACCTTAGGCCACCGCTCTCCTGTCACATTTAGGGACCACTCCCCTCGGCTTCAGTCAGGACTTTGGCAGCTTAATCGTAGATTGCGCTGACTTCACTCGCCAGCGACGAGGGGGTAGTTTGGTTTTTAAGACCTGTCCAATGTGTACAAAACAGCGCTTGGATCTTAACCAGTCAACGTGAACTTGGTGATAAAAATCTGCCAAGCTCCAAATATTCTGCCGACGCCCTGTATCTTCTGTACCCAGGGAATAAGAGGAGTAAAATAATAAATGACTTGCTCACATATTGGTAGAACACATTATGTAAAATCAGTAATTTCATTAGTTACGTTTTATAAGATTAAAATAAATAAATCTATTTCACGCCTAATTTAATATAACCTATGAACTTCAAGGTTTTGCTTTATATACATCACCAATTCACTACTGGATCAAATCTTATCAATTCTAGCCACGTTTTCATTTTCCGAGACCAAATTCATACTTTCTTCATATGTAGCATCGTTTTCTTGTTGTTTTTTCTTCCGGCTAAAAATACCTTAATCTATGTAATCCATATTAAAGTCGAGGTAACTCTGTATATCGTCGTTGATTTTTTTTAGAAGTTATCTCTCTTACACCCTCTTCTGCAACATAGTAGAATGGAAGATGGAACTCAACAATGACTGAAAACCTTATATAGACTTTACCAATTTTATACTGTATAGGTATATATATCCCGGCTATGAATCCCTTAGAATATTTCACCTATATTTCGCATAGCTTTAATGCTCGCATCTTATGTCCGTCTCTTACGTGTACTCGTACACAGCTTAAAAAGTCAATATTGGACGAGCCTATTGGCTCGTCCAATATGACTTTTTAAGCTGTGTACTCGTCCAAGCATATTCCCGTATTGTTAGTAAAATGTATAATAACTATAATTATAGTCCGATTTGACATTTTTCAGTTTGAAGGTTATATTTTTATACCCTTGCACATCAACATTTGTGAAGAGAGTTAACGAGTTAGAGACTGTCCGTCAGTTCGAGCGTAAAGCTGTGTTATTTTCTTCTCTAAAACCGCTCAACCAATGACCGGCGTTATGGACATGAAGGCTACTTTTACTTATCATCAGGAATTCTACTTTTACACAAGATGACCTTAGCTTGATGTATTGACTTTCGCTGAAATTGGCTTTAATGCGCTATAACTTTCTTATTATTAATGGATGTAATGTATTCATATTTGGACATAATAAACGTTTTGGAAATACTTTAAAACAAGCCGAACTAGAAAAATTCTACTTAGTTTGTGTGCTTACAAGACATTCAATTTTGCCGTGCTTGGCGACCTTTAAGCTCATTTTGACTAGTTCACTAAGTGTGTTAAAGTGACAGGCATTACACACATAATTTTAGGTCGTGCAGTACAATGTAAAGTTTTAAAAAAAACATTTAAAACTCACGCCACTTGTTTTTCTTCATGGCAATTTATGTCGACCATTCACATGCTCAAACATAATTTTGAAGTTAAAAGGAAGTCAAATTTTCTTTGTCAAATTTTCTTTGGACTTAAACTAAATCCAAAAATGTTTTATTTGCTAATTATATGCGCAGACGACACTTGGGATGTGGAACTACAAGCGTCTGAAATGCCATAAAATCCAAATAAATTGTAAATTTGTCAATCTCAGTCTATGTCAAATATATATCAATAAAACATAATATACGCCGTTTTGAAAAACAGGGGCCGTATTCATAACTGTCACTTTCACACACTTAGTGAAATAGTCAAAATGAGCTTAAAGGTCGCCAAGCACGGCAAAATTGAAGTTTGAATATGATTTTCTTTTCAAACAGGGTATTTTAAGTGCTAGTGAAAAATGAAACTTGAAAGTTTATAGGGCGGGGGATATACGGAAGTTAGGCGAAATAAATACGTTTGCGAACAATGACGGGGAAAATATTCACGTGGAATGATTGACGAGTAACGTGGTTGAAATAAGCACGTGAAACTTGTTTAAACATTGCACGCTGTGAAATAATTGAAGATTTACACACATAAATGTATAATACTAATATTTCAATACGCTAACCATAAAGAAAAATAAACACCATGTGCGTTCTTTTATTCAACATTTTATTCTTCTGAGACATATAAGGTAACATTTGAGCCGTGTCACGACAAAACCAACATAGTGCGTTTGCGACCAGCATGGATCCAGACCAGCCTGCGCATCCGTGCAGTTTGATCAGGATCCATGCTGTTCGCTATCAGTTTCTCTACTTGTTATAGGGTTTGTAAGCGAACAGCATGGATCCTTATCAGACTGCGCGGATGGATGCGAAGGCTGGTCTGGATCCATGCTGGTCGCAAACGCATTACGTTGGTTTTGTCCAGACGCGGCTCATTTGTATCTTAAAACAAAATTGATTTTATCTACACCTATACTTCAAATAACAAATTAAGTACTCACAATCTGGTGTTTTACTTATTGACAAATTAGTGACTAAATAATAAACTGAAGAAATGTTCATCTTACAATTAATTCAGTAAATACCGCTGAAGTTAAGTCGAAACTATATGAATTTTGAAATAATGTTTGAGTTAACTATCAGGGTGTGTGTATGTATCCAAATTAAACTTATCCGAACTGGAAAGCCTCAGGTACAAAGATATAATGACTTAACTTTGTTGCGTGAAAATATTTAGACTTATTTAAACGAAATATTTGTAAGTTCAATAAAATAATTAATGTCTTAGTTGATTTGTAAACATGCAATTTTTGTAACATCAAAACAAGAAAAATCTGGCATCAAAAACAGACGCAAGTCATGACAATAAAAATGTACAGGTCAAAATTAACAATCACATACTGATCAATCTCAGAACAATTTTAAAATTGCACTTTTATGTAACAGGGCGGGACAAAATGCATTAACTTAATACAAACAATAAAGATATAAAGTTTGGCAATAAACATTCAGAATTGCTTCATTAAAAGTCAAATCTATTTTAAATTGGTAAAATCACGAGGAAATTGAAATACCTTTTAACATGATGAAATGAGTTTTTTTTTATAAAAGACAAGCTAGAAAATTGCCTAGTTAAAATAATTTCTTCAAAACCAATTTACATCTATTAATAACATTTCTATTTTTAATCAATATATTTAATCATTTACCATGGATATAATGATATTTTAACATATAAAATTTGCCTACAACCTTATTTTTGTATATATATACATGTACGGTCTTCATCAAATCATGAGTTATCTGTAAGAAATAAGAAGTGACTTCCATTGTCATACAGATTCCTTTTTTATCTTAAGATAAACATTTTTACATTAATACTGCTTTATAAGAGTAGCTAAAATGCATTTAAATGAAACATACTACTGTATGATAACTGTCACATTAAGTTTACATCACTGGACTCATCTTTTAGGTTCATACCACCAGATGATAACTGACATATTTTTAGTTTATATCACTGTATGATAACTGTCATATTTTTAATTTATATCACTGGATGATAACTGCCGCATTTTCGATTATACCACTGGATGATAACTGCCACATTTTCGATTATACCACTGGAAAATAACTGCTATATTTTAGTTTATACCACTTGATGGTAACTCTCAGACGTTAAGTTTATACCACTGGATGATAACTGCCACATTTTAGTTTATACCACTGGATGGTAACTCTCAGATGTTAAGTTTATATCACTGTATGATAACTGTCATATTTTTAATTTATATCACTGGATGATAACTGCCGCATTTTCGATTATACCACTGGATGATAACTGACACATTTTCGATTATACCACTGGAAAATAACTGCTATATTTTAGTTTATACCACTTGATGGTAACTCTCAGACGTTAAGTTTATACCACTGGATGATAACTGCCGCATTTTAGATTATATCACTGGATGATAAGTGCCACATTTTCGATTATACCACTGGAAAATAACTGCTATATTTTAGTTTATACCACTTGATGGTAACTCTCAGACGTTAAGTTTATACCACTGGATGATAACTGCCACATTTTAGTTTATACCACTGGATGGTAACTCTCAGATGTTAAGTTTATATCACTGGATGATAACTGTCATATTTTATATTTATATCACTAGGTGATAACTGACAGATATATTTTTATACCAGTAGATGATAACTCTCATATTTTACTCTATATCACTGAATGATAACTGTCACACTTTTTAGTTTCAATATTTACAGACATAATAGCTAAATTAACATGCTTGACGAAAATAAATTATGTTTTATGAAATGAGCCGTGTCATGACAAAACCAACATAATGGGTTTGCGACCAGCATGGATCCAGACCAGCCTGTGCATCCGCGCAGTCTGATCAGGATCCATGCTGTTCGCTTATAAACTCTATTACAAGTAGAGAAACTGATAGCGAACAGCATGGATCCTGATCAGACATATGTCTTCTTATATCATCTTAGTTTTAATATCTTCTAGATTAGATTTATTTATAAACATTACATTTACATGATAATTGTCAAATAATAAATTGTACGGATTGAGTAGGAAGCGTGAAAAGCTTTTTAAGAAACTCTCTCCGTTGATTTCTTCTAGTTTGGTCGTGAATTAACTGATTGGCAACTGACAAAAACTGTTATGTTACATTTACAGTTGCTAAGGAAACTGAGAACAAAAATGTTCAATGTATTATATAACATTATACATTATAAGAAACACAAAGTATACATGCATAAATCAAAATATACAATATATAATGAACAGAGAAAACTTTAATACATTAACATAAATAAATAGAATGTTACACTGGGGTGAGAGAAGTAAAATTTAAAAGTGGACCGTATTTTTTTTACATGGTATATAAATACAGAGTTTGCTCTATTTTGTTCTATTTAGCAATGTTTTGATTTTTGTTTTTAGCCAAGGGAAAATAATTATATAATCTCATATGTTTAACAAATTGTCCTAACACTACCTAATACAGAAAAGAAAATCTTGACTTGCTCTTCTTTAAATTTTATCTTAAATAACAATTATTTTATTAAAAATAATTCAAAAAACTTTTTAACAAGGAATTCTGTATAAAGCTGTCATATTATGGAAAGAAAGAACTTAGAAAATACAACGCTAGTCTTAATGACCCAAGTGTAACATTTCAACACGCGTGTAACATTTTAACACTACTGGCATGCGAGCAGTTCCCGTACAAAAATCGTAGTTACTTAAACATTATTTTTTATTACGCTCACTCACCAAAATTTGAATGTTACACATCAATATTCAGCTCGTCACACAAATCATGGAAATTCCATCATGTTCTAAACATAGAATAACCCTTAGTTATGAGGCCTCATATGGGGTACCGAAATTATCCATTATTTTGTATGAAGAGAAGTAGTTCCCGTACATAAAATTTAACCCATTATAATTATACAATTTTATTATATCGGACCTATTTTTTATTTATAATTGTTGAACAGACCATTTTCTAAGAGATAAATAGATGTAATTCAGGAAATAGAAAGCAGACTAAACGCGTGTATCTATTACCCGGTACCGTTACCCCCAACACATTCACATGCGATGGCATGCTTGTATGCATGATATTTTACGCATCAAAGCCATAAAATTATTTTATATAGTAATATTGGTCAAAATTCTGATAATTAAACAAGTTTTCATCACATTGCCTTCTTACCTGTAAACAAGTGGTATTAGTGGAAAACCCTTTAACATGCCTCACGTGTAAGTATATTTGCGCATGCGCGCAAGGACGGAAATCCCCCAGATAAAACAAGGTCACGTTTTGACAACGCACAGGTGAAAGTGATTTAAAATGAGACTTATTATACGTACTGCCGAACTGACACTTAGATTTTGTCTCGTTTATGTATCTGCTTGATTTGAAATGAATTTTTGAAGAATGCATGTAAAAATCAAGCGTTTAAATGAAAAATACGGGTACTGCTTCTGTACGGGAACTGCTCGCATGCCAGTAGTGTAACATTTCAACACGAGAAACTGGTCCCAGTAAAAAATAATACATCAACAAATTATATCACAAAAATATTCACATTGGATTTCAGTTTGATTGTAAACATGTATATAAGGCACGCGCTAAATGTAAGTGATTCATCTCAATTAAATTCATCATATGTCAATCAATCAATCAGCTGTCGATAAATTTCGCTTCCTAGTTAAAATATAGTTAATAGGACGTAATTTTATTTGCCCCGAGATTGTCAGACCCTCTAGAAAATGTACTTATAATTATTTTATGACTCATGAATCCATTCAACTCGATTAAATCTCAGCACTAATCTATCATAAGCAAACATCACCGGTATCTGGCCAGAATATATAACAGAGTCTATACACCGTTCAAAGTTTCATCTAGCAACCCCTTACTTAGCCGGTGAGATAATCAATGAATGAGAAAACATGATTCTTAATATGACAATCTGCAATTCGCGCCAGACCCGCATATTGCTCAGTCACATGTAACTGTCTTCTCTATAAACAAAAATCTGACTTCAAATTAACACGTGTTGCACAACCATTTAATGACAAACCATCTTCCTTTGAATATTGCTTATTCCCCCAAGATGGCCATCCGTGAAAAACCTTCTTGTTAACCACCAAATTTACTTTTTCAATCATAAATTGTTTACATATTTTCAAGAAGACATTTAATATCTCCAAACCAGATCTTATCCGCATCTATTTCACCGCATATTTCATTATGTTCCCTGCATTTTTTTCAGTTATTTATCTGATAAAAATTTAGGCCAATGTAAAAAATAATGTGCTTCCGACAATGGCCAGCAACAAATATTCATTCATCTACTAGTCTTTCTTTTGGTAAGTTCCTGTAATCATCACATCCGAAAATAAAAAAAATAGGTGTCTTTAAAACATAAATTTTCATATCGAACCCCACAAATAATATCTTAACATAGTCATTCATAAAAGACAAATTCAATATTGATATTTCATTTAACACAACGCACTTTCTTTCAAAAAGTACACTTTCAAAAAATACGCGTTGTGTTTATTTTGATTTTGGCAAATGTAACACCAAATAATGCCGCTACAGGATCTTTTATAAAGAACAAAATATCGTTACAATATTGTCTTTCATAAAACCGGTATTTTATGTGTCGGCGAGGAAACGACTGGGGATGATTTGCCTTCAATAGCATTAAAATTTGGAAGTGGTAACTGACCACCGACTATAGGAAACTGAAAAGCGGAAGTGGATGACGTTAAACGTGGACTCAGCGTTGCTATGGGACTGAGGGAACTCCAAAAGTGAAGAGGTATCGGCGTTCTTGGAACTCCTACCATTGGACTTGCTATGACAAATGGATTGCTATGCATTGTGGCGAATTGTGGCGGAAGAAGTTTGGGACTCAGTAGCGGATGGGTCGTGGCTGTAGTGATTGTCGTCTGCACGGATGGATTTACATTTAACATCAACGGATTCGGTTTCGGTTTCGTTGACGTCTTGCTGTTTTCGTGTCTATGTAAGGCATTTTGTGAGTGGCTGACAGTTGCGTTTGAAGACACCAAAACAGAAGAGGACATTGCTGATGATGACGTCATCATCGTCAAATGTCCATTGTGTGATCGCATAGAAATTTTAGGAACATTTTGTTCTTTATAGGTCATTTCGTTATAATACTGAGAGACATTTTCCCTTTCGGGTGATTCTTCTTCTTTCTTTATAAATCCAAGTGTCGCGTTTTCAGCAGACGACTTTATGTTGGCTGAGTTATAAGACGCTAAATGTGGAAATACTTGTTGACCAAATTCCTGCGCCAATGTCTCCATTTTTTGCTTAAACGGGACTTTAGTTTCCATTTTCACAATTTCAGGAAATGAGACAAATTTATACATGAACTTCTGTCCCATGACTTTTTTGATAATATTCTTATCATAATAGTACCTCAATGCCCGACTAAGTTTGTCATAATTCATATTAAGCTTGTTCTTCCGGCGACCCCAGAGGTTTGCAACTTCCTCCGGGTTGAGAAGTTTGAATTCACCTTCATTGTTTGTCCACTGAATAATGTCCTTGTGTTTGTTACTAACCAATAAGTCCAGAAGGAACTGCCACAATGTTATATTAGAATCCATAACTGAAAAGTAAAGACAATAATCGTATGAGATAACAAAAATACAAAACTTTGGATTAAATCATTAATGTAATAAGACCTTATCTTGTTTAGTGTTTGTAATGGATTCACCCTACAGTTCATTCGAGGATTTTAGCATTAAAATACAAAAAATAAGCTTCCAACAGTATCGAGCCTGGTCAGACTTCCCGTAGTACAGACTGGCCTGGCTCTGTCCCGGTGGCAAAGGCTTATCATTTCTGGTATAAATATAGCGCTGGGTAAACATTATGTGAGCCGCGCCATGACAAAACCAACATTATGCGTTTGCATATCAGGATCCATGCTGTTTGCTATCGTAATAGGGTTTGTAAGCGAACAGCATAGATCCTGATCAGACTGCGCGGATGCGCTGGCTGGTCTGGATCCATGCTGGTCGCAAACGCATTATGTTGGTTTTGTCATGACACGGCTCACGTATTTAAATCTTACAAATACTTTCTACATGTACAAAGAGAAAAAGAAACAAGAGACAAATAATATGTTTAAGAGCATTTAGTATATTTTATAAACCTTACATATAGTTACATAGTAAAACTAGTATTTGTAAATGTGACAAAACTAAGTCAATATAAAGTTTATTAAAGATTTCTATTTTTGCTATCCCTTAAGGCTTTTCTAAATCTAAGTTATTCATTTTTGTATCACTCGATGTGAAATGAAACAAGTTAAAATGTATGTCGTATGTAAGTAAACGAGATGGCGACACTGTTGGAAAAATACATATTTTTTTTGAAAATATAAATATGTTTGAACTTTTGGCAATACTATCTTTGCTTCTTTAGCTTGATTTTTGTATAACTAAAGAAGTGCATATCACTGTTCGTTGCAGTGAAATGAACAGCTGTGCATTCTCTCCTATTAACCTATTTACATTACATGACATAACGCTTTCGTATAAACAAACGTATACTTTAAAAGTTATGAGATAAATTACGTATGCTTGTTCGTGTCTGAAATCAGCTTGTACCAGAAATAACGTGCGCAGTGGCAATGGCAACGTTTTCTTCTTCTTCTAAATTTCAAGTGCTATAGTCACTCATTTGTTTTAAACAATACGATTGTAAATTATCTCCCTTGAAGCTAATGAATCGGATGAATGGCATAACGCGGCGTGTGGTAATCATTAACTATTCGGTTCGAATCTTAAAGAGAAAAAAGCTATGTCTAATGACTGTCATTTACAGTAAAATTATGTCGTTTCCAAAACTTCATTCTACATTATCGAAAAAGTTGTAGCATTAAAATTGACCCGCGCCATGACAAAACCAACATAATGCATTTGCGACCAGCATGGATCCAGACCAGCCTGTGCATCCGCGCAGTCTGATCAGGATCCATGCTGTTCGCTTACAAACCCTATAACAAGTAGAAAAAGTGATAGCGAACAGCATGGATCCTGATCAGACTGCGCGGATGCGCAGGCTGGCCTGGATCCATGCTGGTCGCAAACCCATTATGTCGGTTTTGTACTGTTTACAAACTTTAATACTGTTATTTTAATAAAATTCTTATAGTTGAACAATGATTTTCTGCATGTGCCGTTCAATCATAAGGAAATATACTTATATATTTTTATCAAACATATATTTCAAAATTATTTTCTTTCAAAATTCAAACAAAATTTTGTAAACTGCGTGAAACAGATATAGTTTTATACACTTTAATGTTGATAACTAATTAATGTTCGTAAATAAATCAATAATAATCTGTTTAGACTGGTGACAAATTACAACCTTAAACATAAATACGATATTACTACGATTTAATACTATCAGAAATAAATAAATTAAGCAATTACTACCCCTAAACCACAGGCACGAGTATCGGACCTGGGAAGAAAAAATATGACCAGATTGATAAAAAAATCTGTGTTCATCTTAAAAATGTCAACAACAAAAAATGTAAATAATGACCTACTTTAAAAATATACTATAAGTTATAGTATATTTTTAAAGGGGGTCATTATTTACATTTTTTTGTTTGTTTTTTTTTTGACATTTTTAAGATGAACACAGATTTTTTTATCAATCTGGTCATATTTTTTCTTCCCAGGTCCGATACTCGTGCCTGTGCCCTAAACCAATGGCGTCAGCTAAAAAACAAAATGCGTGTCAGTTAATTTCATTTATTACAACAATTAAAATAGCTCATTGGTCAACATGTATCATAATTTGACTGTAATCGATATACATGAGCTTTAAACTTGGAAAACCACAAAAAAACAAGTTTCAATAAAAAATACAAATTCCCGTTAAAAAGATCGGAAAATCTGCGGATTTCAAAATAGTTTTTTAAGTTTCGCTTTTGACAAGTTAGTGTAAAAACAATTGGGCTCCCGGGTGACAACCTCCCTCGTTTTCATGTTATGGCCTTATTGTGTATGATTAATGAAGTTGAAAAAAGAAAATAAGCATATTCGTACAAAGTAAAGATTTGAACCATGTTCCTGTTACAGTCTAATCTATTCCGAATCTCATTCAGCTACCTCACCAAGGTTCATCATAAAAACGTTTTTACCCCTTTAAAAACTCGCATTTATTTTTCAATCTCCTGTAAGATCTTTATTTGGTAACTGCACATTTTACAATGACGGTAATTCCAAGACAAACTCATGGCATAAGCTATGGAAAATGTTTGAAACTATATCCTGTTTCCAATTAGATACCAAGAAAAGAACATAATTAAAACCTACCACAGTAACTTGGCTTGGACACAAGAACAATGGCATTTGTCACGGGCATACGCTTTTGTACAACAAGATTTCTTTTTATTGCTAATTCTGATAAAATCGAGATATAAAAATTGTACTTACGTTTTGGAGCGTTATCTCGTGGTGCAACCTTAAACGTTCCCTCCAAATGCTGCTCATAATCAGGTGCCGACGCATGTGCCGACGAATCCAACAGAGCTCCCGGCGGTGAATTTGTGGCAACTCGGCAGTATGCTAGAGAGTCTGTAATAAATGGATAGAATATAAATCGATGACATTTACAGTAGGGTGGGGGACTTAGTCCGTCGGCACCCGGGGGTAGAGGAATCATCCTTCCAAGCGTAAGATGACGTCACTATAGGAAATGTGTTGTTTTTCCCCAGATTTTCACATTAAAAGAAACTTATGTTTATCGCAAAGAAATGACCCACTAATAAACATTATTAATTTTAGTCCACATTTTTCCACACACTTATTCCCTTTTCACAAGGGTGAAACATTGGCTCAAACTTCTGTACATGAAACTGTATATAACAATTTACGCACACAAGAAACGGTAACGTAAACAAAGGATTTTTATACGTATTTTCATTACACCGTCCAGACAAAATACTCCCAAAGTTACACTCGTAGCAGTACGACAGCTGAGCAGAATTACTACGTGCGTAAAAAACAAGTCGAAAATAGCAACTCTGCGCTGCATTCCCATTGCGTTATACATACACATGTAATTGCTAATGCGGCATTCTCATTGGTTGCTGCTAATCAAAAATTGTGAGAATCTGGGAATAAGATCTAAAAAAGAATTTTCTAACCGATAAGCCTCGCGGGGGCATTTGAGTAGAGAAACATTTGTACAAAGATTTTAATGCAGCACTTGTATGTCAAATTACTTTCACTAGTAAATGTTTACATAGGTTAATATTTATCAAGATACCGTCAAGAATTTCAGAAGTAACACGAACGTTCGTCTGTATGTCTTTATTTTAACGTTTGTAACGTAAATACTATTAGCACATTAATGAAGAGATCATTTTTAACGAAACTTTTATTTTTTGACACGTTTCTTTTTTGGGTCGTCTGACATTGTCAATAGATAGGTTTTTCTGTCTGTCTGTATATATGTCTGTATGTCCTTTATTTTCTCTCTCTCTGGTCTGTCTATGTGGCTGGCTGTCTCTGCTTGTCCCTCTCAATTTCTGTCCGTCCGTGTATCTCTCTTCACAAGAAACTTCCTTAAATTTATTTCTAGAACATTTTAAAAAGCGCGAAAAAGAAATCAACATTTTATTTCGTACAGTTTTTCAGTTAACACCTACCCGAAAAAATGTCGTTCAACAATATGTCAAAAAACCTGTACATTCAACTCTACATTACTAACAGAACTAAAAATAGACTGTAAATTTCAAACTATTTTGGTATTTTTCCCAAAATGAAATTTAATTCCCCCTTTCCCGTCAATAAACTTGCTGAAATATTAAAAAAAAAGACAAATAGACTAGGAGCGTAGCATTTATTCAATAAACACAACTGACTGCTTAACCCGGAAAAGAACCCGGAACAAAAATAAAGATTAAGGAAAGAGGAAGCTAGTCTGATTGGTGCGTATTCATTTTGACCTCTTTATCTACAATATTACATGCTGCGGCAAGTTAGTTTCACTTACAATTACGAAATATTTCTAAAATAACTCAATAAACATAGCTTGTCCATATATTGATATAAATGAATACAATTCGCATATCTGAATTCAATTACCTCACTTATGCTAATCAGTTTGAATTTTTAAATAAACATGGTTTAATTCAAATGCATCATAATAAATGTTATTGAAATTAATTTATCAAAACCATTTCATAATATAAATAAATACTAGTTACATTTGCATTTTAAAATATGAATGACTGCAGAAAATAACCATTACACAACATTTTCATGAAGCTTGATCAAAGTGTCTTAATATTAAAATTACTCATAACCATTTAGTATTGCCCGTTGCTTTGTTGTTGTATAGGAAACGACCAAATCTTGGCATGACAGTTGTAAGTATAAGGTTTAGTCAAGGCCTGCTTATCCCCTGTCCAATCTTAAAGCTGCACGCCTCCAGATGAGCCAAAATATTTGAAGACATTTAATCTTTAGAAAAATGTATTAAGATCTTAAGAAAAGTAAAAATATTCAATATTTAATTAATTATTGACATGTTATGTGCGATTAATAACTAATTTTGCAGTATCAATCACTATAATTCTACTGCGTTACTAACGCAGTAAGGGGTATTTATGTATTTTTGACCACTTTTTGGAACTTTACGTGGATTGTAAGTGCCGTTTACAATGTATAAATTTTTTTCTTTGTTCACTTCACAATATTTTACATTTAAACACATTTTCAAATTTTTTATGAAAATTAGCATGAATCTGGAGGTATGCTGCTCAGAAGAATTAAATGCTACATACGTGTGCATTTACGGCTGAATCATGTCAGTGGAATAAAATAAACTATCTTACCTAAAACATCATCATTTAAATTCATAATGTATGTGATAACCTGTTGAGTACACTCTGTATATGAAAAGTTTAATGGTAGTAACATCTTTGTTTTGGTTATATACAAAAAAACGTATAATCGTTCCCAGAAAACACCCCCGTAAACAAATCCATTTATTTCCGTTACATAGAATAAGTGGACACCCTTGACATTGCGGAAAAAATATTTTCACTGATCGTATTTCAAACTGTATTACAGCTAATTTTATCTATCATAAAGAACATAATCATATTTTAATGAATAGTCATGAAAGAAAATCAGTTAACTTAAATGATAATGAACTTATAGAAAATCAACTTTTTAACTAGTGTAAATTTGTATAAACAGGGACAGGTAACCTAGCCTACAAACATAAACAGGTTACCGGAATATGTAACCAGGTAAATAAAAAGAGACTGGTAACCAAGTAAATAGACAGGGCCAGGTAACCTTGCTTACAAACAAGGACAGATTACCTAACACAGGCATGTCACCTATAGCATACAGACATAAAACAGCTTGGCATCATCAAATTATACTCTATTATTTATATTATTAAAAAAGATTTATTGTGATAAAAGCAGTAGACTTCGGGTATTTCCGTAAGCTCCCGCCAAACACATTAAGCTTACAAGAAGCAGACAAGATAAGATTTGACAAATAAACTGGTACCGCCTACGTCAATAGTGTACGTAAATTCCGGGTGGTATGGAACATTACAGAAACAAACTTGACAAAACCCTAGTGACAGATATTTCTTTGTATAATACGTCCCGGTAGCAGCGTGGAATTTCCACAGTAATCAACAATCATGCTTTATTTACATTATTTTGAGTGTTTCGTACTTGACACTCGTCCCGGCAGACATGAAAACAGCTGTTCAAGTTATGCAAGATGCCTAAACGGTAGCTTTATTGTATATCTACTGGAGACAAAGACAACGTTGTTGATGAGCCCGTTTTAAACAGCAAATCACATAACAGTCTTGATGTCTCCTCAAAGCTTGAGTGAGATGAATCCTTATAGCTTAAAGTGTTAACACTAGATGACGAAAACCTCTTAAAGAAAGCGTCATACTAAAACAAGAGCACTGGAGATTAAATCTGTGAATTCTAAGTATTCAATATAAATCTAAACAATGAAGTATCACAAGAGTATGTCCTACCTTTAGAATATACACATATCACATACTAGTAAATTGTTCTAAGAAAAATCGCTAAACTAACTGTATGACGGGATCCTTATAAAATGTTTTCGTCAGTTTCAACGATTGATAATGTGAAACATGGAAGTTTTGAAATACAAATGTACTATAAAGTTACAATTTTTTTAATGTGTAACAAAGCTAAAATAAAACAACATAAGGATGCTAAAGGTCTCAATTTGACGCATTTTACTCGGTCAGTATATAATAGATGTTGACAAAAGCAAGCGATCCTGATAAAATGGAAAAAAATATGATTCAAATCATTAAAAAAAACATCCCTAAGGGACATCCTAATTTTCTGCAGATTATACTTTAAGTCACTTTTATATTGTTGAAGTAGTATAATTATGTAATGTAAGTCATTTATGGCAGAGTGAGACACAACACGCCACTCCACGCAACATTTCATGCTAGCACCAAAGGTAAAACCACCGAGCAAACTGGACAACTTCCCCACAATTGTTTATGGTGGACACACATAGTGGTGTTAAAGGAGCTAGCGATTTTAAAATGCTACATTAACAAATTGCCCACGGACCACTCAAACCCAACCCACCATTACAAGACCCTACGCCTCTAAAACTTCAGAGCATAATTATGTTACCATGTTGATATTATTTGTAACAATTCATCTAGATTTGGCGTTATCTTAAACACATTTGAAAATTCCGTAGCCTTCATTTCTAGATTCTTATAAAATTCTTTAGTTCCGTATCAAATAACTGACTGATTACTCATGGAACTCCACAGAAGCATGTCACGATCTTGAACGCGTTCTCTGGTGCAAGTCGTCTGCATGGTTACCATTTTATGAAAAATGCTTTCTTATCTAACCAGGGCACGTTGTGCGCTCATGTTTTTGAGATCCCGTTAAACATGTGATTATTTTAGGGGAGAAAAAATAAATAAATTCAACTTTAGCGTGACGTATATAAATTAATGTAAACATATTTAAACACTGTAAATTAAGGTTGTCAACAAAAGCACAGCCATAATAATAATAAATAATAGTTTCTATGATGATCTCAGATTAACAATCTAGATATAATTATTGCATAATGTGTAAGATAATATTAAAATGAGTGTAACAATAAACCGTTACTAATGGTAAAAAACAAACATAATAATACTAGGCTCAAATAATATTGTTATTTTATCAGCAAATAGCATTGAAAAAAAAATGGCATACAATTTTGTAACGGATTAATTCTTCGGATAAACTATTAACTTACTGCTAACAACACGTATAGAAAATGTACCTGTGAGCATATTTTTTTTATTTACTGCACGATATTTCTTCACAAAACATACGTTAAAGATCCTGTAACACATTTTTTTCATGGTTTTATTTCATAAATATGATGCTCAAGTTAAGATTTGTCAGTATTGTAAGTTATAATAAGCATTATTTACAAAGATATTACCCAATTTAACATTTCATGTAAATAAAGGGAGGTAATTAGAAATTCATTTTCTATAAATTCTAAGTCAATTTTTCCAATAAGAAATGTATGCATGTAATTTATTGATTAAATATAATGTGCACAAAAATTTGCAGTACACATTTTACATATTCTTCGATGTTTGAAAATTGTTTTATTTGCATAATTATATACATATATATAACCTATTGTCATAGGTCTGCGCTATCCAAATTCAGGTGTGGTGTTGCGCCGCTAAGAATTGAAACTGGGCGTTATACTAACATGCCAGTAGCTGAAAGAGTATGTCCATTTTGTGAAGAGTTTATTGAGACAGAAATGCATGTTTTATTACAGTGCCCGCTATATAATCAAATACGTGATGTCATTTATGAAAAAGCTCAATCTGTAGACAATAGTTTTTATGATATGTCTGATAATGATAAATTTGTATTCATGTTCTCTCACCCAGACATGGTTAGAATCCTCGCAAAATCCTGCTGTGATATATTAAAAATTAGAAATAATATTTTGTATAGTAAAAATTTTAAACTGTAATAATATTTAGTAATTGCAACAATTTTATTATATGACATACAATTTAAAATGTACAGATGAAATATTTCCAGTGTTTGACGTTTTAATGTTGGCTAGCATGTTATTTGGAGTCACTCAAAAGTACTATGTCACCATTTGGCTATCATTTATACAAACATGATTTTAATATTTTTACGCTGTCTAACACTGGTAATGTTTAATCTTAATATTGGTTTTACCATGTATG